GTAAACTTTCAACTAGCTGGTTATATGTTTTCCCTTAAAGGTCTAGATTAGTTATTTTACCATTCACAGCGTGGTTAAAATTTTAATTTCACCTCCCTCTTCTGCTTTCCCTTTTATCACTTAGTCAAAAAATAAAGGGTAAAGGGCACATGTTTCAGTACAGCAGACAGGATTTAACGGCATGTGAATCAAATCTGATGACAGATTGTGGACTGTTTAGACACCACACTAATCACATGTGATCAAATTACACACACACACACATATATAGAGAGAGGGTTAATGAAGGAAACACTGCTTTCTACATACACCAGGAAGGCCAGGAACTAGATATGTTGGTTTCAAGACATGTTGTTCCAAGATATATCCATTTATTCTCTATGCAAGCTATTGTAGGAGGCTATGTGGCCCTGAAACAATCCAGTAATGCAATGTTTTGGCTGAGACCGTCTTGGAAAGGCATAATAAATACAAATCCCAGATAACCTGAAATAAATACTGTATGTCTCACAGAAACGCCAGATAAGAACAGCAGTGCATTGGATGCATTACACACGGGAAGGTTTTAACAATTTGGGATGCTTTCAGACAAACGTACATGCACAAAAACACAGTGGCCTTGCATTATTCTCTGTTATATTGCATTATGTGCATGTGTGTGTCTGAGTATGTGCGTCAGTCTATTTGTTGGAGCAGAGGAAGAGTGTGGGAGATGCAGGCGGGTCAGAGAGCGTAGGAGTCACGCAGAGGGAAGTTCAGAGATGAGCTTTTGTTTGAGCAGCAGAGATGACTTCAGAGCGTCCGCACTGTTCTCATACCTAGCTTTACACCAGCCAAAGGCGCCCCCAGAAATACTGGCACCTGTGATTAAACGGCAGAATGAGCTGAGTAACAGCAGAAAACAAGAAATAAGCTACGTTCTGTTCCATTAAAATTCTCATTTATGCATAAAGAGACTGAACAGACGTGACAGGAATGCACCAATGAACCCTGGCTGTTTATTAAAAAGTAAAAATTTCACTGATGTTTTATTTAAGGAACATATGGTAGACGGTGAGAAGCTGTTTGACAAAGGGTGTCAATAAATGGAGCCGTGCCTTCTTTTTTTAATGAGAGTTTTCAGACATGCAGTCTAAACTTTGGCTTTAGTTAACAATAACCTCTGACATGGAAGAGAAAATGACTCATTTTTAAAAAATATGGGCAATTTGTTTTACGCACACCTACGTGTAGTTTATATTACACTAGCTGACGTCTAACAGTCTGAAGTCACACAATACTGAAAATCAGCTATCATATATAATGAGGCAAGGCAAGTTTATAATGTATATTTAGCACCTTTCAAACACTACAGTCATTCAAGGTGCCTTATGAGACAAAATTAAAATGAAAAATAAAAGAAGAGATGGCGTAACACCAAAATAATCAAATTAATAATGATGATGGTACAGCGATCTGGTTAGTTAAAAGCAGTGTTCATCTTGATTTAGTTTTAATCATAATTTAAATTATTAGATCATTTTAGGTTATTATAGACTAAATGTAAAATTTTCAAATCTAAAGATTCAGCAGACTAAAAGTTAAAAGCGTGAAAGTTTATCTTGTTTTTACTACAATGCAAAATGCGTCCATATGTCTCCTCTTCTCTTCCACCTAGCGCTGACATTTTGTCGCGTCATTATGAGAAACAGGGAGTGTGGGAGCTAGCCCTACCATCAGATCAAATGTGCCCTTCTGACCTTACTGGACAAGGAGATTACTTCTGATTGGATCACGTGCAAACTCGTCCCGCCTTTCTACACAACCTATTCAGTTCTCATTGGATCTCGTCTCTCCAGAACATTTTCATATTGTTTTTATTTATTGAAGAACGCGTCCAATACATTTCATCACAGTTTCTGTCCTTGTGAATTAGATGATGACTAAAATATAAACTAATTATTCTTCGACAAAATTAACACTGGAGTAAAGTAGTCCTGGATAAAGCTGTTTTATCTTCTTTTTAAAAATAGCTAGTGTTGGAGATGATGTGACCTCAGTGGGTAGTTGGTTCCAGCGTTGAGCAGCATAGAGGCAAAACACCTTATTGCCCTGTTTAGGTTCAGATCTGTGAACCTTCTAGGTGACCGGGATCTTGCAGATCTTAGAGATCAACTTTGTGTCCATTAAACTCTCAGATATAGATTTAGAGCCCTAGCCGTCTAGTGATTTATAAACGATTGGCGATATTTTGAATTCAGTTCTGTATTTTACTGAAAGCCAATGCAGGAAACTGAGATTTGGGAGTGATACACTTCCAGAAGCCCCATTCTGAACTAACCGACCAAATTCTAACAATTCAGCCACTCAAACCAGCAAATATCCAGGCATTTAACCTGCATTATTACTGAAGCAATTAATTGATTATCACAGTAATTATGCCAATAATTTTCTGTGGGTCGCCTAATCAACAAATTAGCCAAAAAGGTTTCACCTCTGCTGTTCTTACTGCGTTAAACACCTCCAGAATTACCAATAGCAGTAGCACCTCATGCTGAAGAAAACCACAGATGAACTGTTGTGATTAAGCGTGTTTACTGGAGGTTAATGGGAGGTAATTAGAAAGTATCACACTGCATCACTGTGAGCTGAAGTTTCTGACAAATTGTGGTTGTTACCGTGTCAAAAATCATTGTAGAAAGAAAATGTTTGTAAAGAAAATAAGCCCAGTGGTGAAGGAAACGCAAAGACCAAAGATGCGATCGTCTGGATGAGGAGTTCAGTCGAGGCAAAGAGGGATTTCTTTTTGATCCTTCTCGGATCAAAGGCTCTGAAAGCTAATGGAGAGGGACAGGTATGAAAGTATTAATGAATAAATCAGGAACCTACGGCCAGGGTTTAGTGATTACTTTGGGTATCAAGAGCCATTCATCATCCCATTTCTGAACATGGGATTTTCATGATGGGTGACATCCTCCATTTTTTTTCCCCTCTGTGAGTCTTTCTTTGTGTGTGTTGCAAATTACTCAAAACACGTAACAATATGTGACATCAATGAGAATCTAAAATGATTTTTTTTTAAAAAGGAATACCTCACACGAACCCAAAATGTGTAAAGGTACGAGTATTACAAAAGCTCAATGTTGTCTACGTTTTCCACTTTCGTATTAGTTGCACCACAGTTTGCATCTGTTGCAACAGTCTGAGTGCTCTGCCTGCAGCAGAAATTAGTGTTGCAATGACATGTGG